TGGCCACGGCGACGAGCAGAGCCAGCCGCTACCGAAGAAGGTCGAGGCCTTGGCTGACCAGCGCGTCGTCGCTGTGTCGGCTGGACGCAACCACAACCTCGCCCTCACCGCCAGCGGCAGCGTCTGGAGCTGGGGCCGTGGAGCCTTTGGCAAGTTGGGCCATGGCGATGAGCAGCACCAGCTGCTGCCCAAGAAGGTCGAGGCCTTGGCTGGGCGGCGCGTCGTCGCTGTGTCGGCGGGAGAGTACCACAGCCTCGCCCTCACCGCCGACGGCTCTGTCTGGAGCTGGGGCTTTGGAGGCGACGGCAGGTTGGGCCACGGCGACGTGCAGAACCAGTGGCAGCCGAAGAAGGTCGAGGCCTTCGCTGGGCAGCGCGTCGTCACTGTGTCGGCGGGAGGGGCGCACAGCCTCGCCCTCACCGCCGACGGCTCCGTCTGGAGCTGGGGCTACGGCTGGAATGGCCGGCTGGGCCACGGCGACCAGCGGGGCCAGCGCGAACCGAAGAAGGTCGAGGCGTTGGGGGGGCAGCGCGTCGTCGCTGTGTCGGCTGGACGCAACCACAACCTCGCCCTCACCGCCAGCGGCAGCGTCTGGAGCTGGGGCCGTGGAGCCTTTGGCAAGTTGGGCCATGGCGACGAGCAGGACCAGCTGCTGCCCAAGAAGGTCGAGGCCTTCGCTGGGCAGCGCATTGTTGCTGTCTCGGCTGAGGCCATGCACAGCCTCGCCGTCACCGCCGACGGCGCCGTGTTTACCTGGGGCCAGGGCGAGACCGGCTGCCTAGGCCACGGAGAGGACCTGTCGAATCAGATGCTGCCCAAGAAGGTCGAGGCGTGGGCGCCGGGGCAGTGATGAGAAGGGTGAAAGGTGAGAAGGGCGAAAGGGTGCAAGGTCCTGTGTTGCCGCGCGTGCCTGTTCGCCACCTGAGAACGTATCCGAGAGTGGCGAGAGGCGAGTCCGGGACGAAAGAGGTTTCTGCATGGTCCCTTGTGTTGGCGTGTGGGACGCCTTGGTGGAGAGAGAGCAGAGAGAATTTTTTGCCATTGGTAGGATGGCACTAACGGCAAATTGACTGGGGGGGCAGCACCGGGAGACTCCCAGAGTGTTGCAGACCCGCCCCAAGCACACCCGGGGCCGTGTCTCCACCTATCTCGACGGTGTGCAAAGCGCCGATACACCCGTTGTACCCTGTCATGAATGCTGATGTGAAAACCGCCGAAAATCGCGACGCTACAGTGAGAGGCCGTCCCGCGAAGCTTCAGCGCCGCTGAGATAGCTGTCGGCAGCCACTCACGCAGTCCGCCGGCCTTCTTCGCGGCGACAGTGCACTGTAGGAGCACCGGACGCACCGTTGGAGCCGGCTTTCATGCAACGTGGTTGCGTTCCGGTGGAGCCTATTCAATAGTATCGCGCCGTCCCGAACGCTCAGCGTGAACTGATCCACACGTGCCGGCGCCCAACTCGGCCCGATGACGCTCTCATGGCGACAGTGCACTGTGGGAGCATACCGAGCAACACGCTGGCGCCTCATTTTGTCGACGCGTAGCCGCGCTCTAGAGCCTATTCAATAGGATGGCCTAGAGTAGAACGGATGGCTAGAGTAGAACGCTGTGTGTCTTCAGAGACCTGTCGTGTGCGTCACCTTTGAGCTTCCTCCACCAGACTGTACAGTGTAATTTGCTGCTGTTGACTCTGACTATCTACTTAAAGCTTGCCCAACAGATCACTGCACTAATGGCACACACCACTGTGGTGACGGCAGACAGCACACGAGAGAGAGAGCGTCTGCGTGTGTCGGTGGCACCGCACACACAACAACACGAAAATCTTGTGTAGAGTCGCGGACGTGGCAATCATTCCAACGTATCGTCGTCTCGAACACGTCGAGCGGGTGCATGCAGCGCTGTGTCTCGGGCGCAAGCTCATCGTGCTATCTGACAACATGACATTAGACGACCATCACGGTGTAGATGGCGTGTCTGGCCAGGAGCAGGCTGCGCATTTGAGCACAGGCGAGTGGAGCGTCTGGCCGTCTGCAAACCTCCCCACAGTACACCTAGCCTCTATCACCGATTTCGCCTTCCTGCACAACCCGTTTATAGGCGAGATCCGCGTGAAGCTGGCGCACGGCAGGGCACTGCGCACCTGCCTGCGTGGCGGCTACCGCGTTTGCCTAATCGGTGAGGATGACCTCACAGTTGTTGGCGAGGGCTTGCTTGAGCGATGGGGGGACGCAAGGCGCGGCTTACCACCCACCAAAAACGGCGAGCCGCAGTGGGACTTCGTCTACCTGGGTCGCTGCTGGGACAAGAGCTGCGACAAGGCGACGCAGGTCCGCGGTGACCTGTACCAGGTCCCTCCCACTCGTGCCGGGTGGGGCGAAGTACCCAAATGCCTCCACGCATACCTGGTCACGCGCGCCGGCGCTCAGCGCGTGCTCGACTCGTGGGCGGCGTGCCCAGCAGCGCTCCCCGCCGACTGGGCCCAGAGCGCGGTGGCCAAGTATGGTCGCATGTACGCGGTCTCACCGGCATTATTCACGCAGTCAGCGTACTATCGGCTTCGGGGGGACAGTAGCACGCTGGTCGCTCGCGAAGACGTGAGCTCGACATCCGCCAACATGTGGCGCCCTGCCCTCGTTCCCGAGTGCTATACAGACGCTCCCGTCCACAGCAGCAGGCGCTTCTCACTCTCGACGCCCACTGTACCAGTCCAACAGAGCATCTGTCGGGCGGAGCTCACACTGTCCCTCGCGTTCAGCGGAGCCGTATCGGCCAACCGCAGCGGGAGCGGCAACGGCGGGTCAGCATGTGCGCACCTCGAGCAGCGCTCCGGAGCCGCGCGTAGCTTCCTCTTCGCTAACCTGGCGTGGCAGCCAACTTTAGCCGTGATTGACCCACTGATGCATGCGTGCGCCATGGAGCAAGTGCTGTCACTGCCGCAGTGCGACTGCAGCGACCCGACGCCAATGCAGCTACAACATGGTCATGCACATGTGCAACATGTTGTCGCAGTTGCCTACCCGCTGGGATACTCGAGTGGAGGGCCAGGCGCGGCCACGGACCCGGCACGTGCAGCAATGTTGGTGCGACGTGCGCAGTGTGTGTCACGGTTGATTGCAGATGAGCCTGAGGCAGATGACCTTGCCGTCACGTACGAAAGCGTCTCATGGCCAAAGCCGGCCAAATGCGACTTTGTGGACAGCGTCCGCATGAACCCGGCCAGGCGTCTCCAGCGGCAAACGCTATACAAGTTGCGTAATCCGCGTGCGCAGCTTGAGTTCCGACCGGTGCTGAAGGCGGGCTCGACATTCCTTAAGAACCTGCTGCCATGCCTGCAGCCAGGTCAGTGGGAGCAAGTGCAGGCGAGCACCTTCGTGCCGCGCAACTTCTCAGTGTTTGCCGTCGTGCGTGAACCAATTGAGCGCTACGTCTCCGCGGTCATGGAGGTCTTGCGCCGCCCGCTCACCGGCATGTGCCCGGATGGTCCGTGCAACAAGGACCGTGACTCATTTGTGCTCTCGGACGTGCACGCCCAGCTGAGACAGACTAGCACGTGGTTCGAGACAGATGATGACGACACGCACGAGCGACACACAGACACAAACAAGCTCACAAGACACACAGCCAGCTGGCTGCCACACACCCTGAGTTGGCGTACACATAACTCAAGGCCACATCCTCCCTGTCGCCCCCCCCAGCACTCCAAGGTGCCAAGAGAAACAAACAAGGGCACAACAAACAACAGACGACAGGATGGTCCGTCCGACGTCGGGGAACCGTCGCCGCATCGCCCTCGCGACTCAATAGACTTCGTTGTTAATAGACAAGCGAAGGCACACAACAACATGACACCAAACACACGATTGCACGCACCGCACCGCACCCAGCACCCGCGCCCGCCTTCGTTTTTTATTTCGGCAGATAGCAGGGGCGGGGGCCGCCGGGGAAGCCTACACCGGTACTGAGTCCCCGGCCGCGCGTGCAATTTTGGGCTTGGTGTCTCATTGAGAGATGATTTCGTTGGACAATTAACAACT